AATCCTCTCACCCCCCCCCCCCCAGGGTCACTGAACCAGGCTGAGGTGGGACGGGACGGAAGGGGCCCTGGGGCTGAGGATGTCATGGCCGGGGGGGCTCCCCACACTGTTCCTTTAAAAAAGCTTCCTAGCTAGAAGAAGGACCTAAAGTATATTGTAAATAGTCACACCTTCCGATGTCAGAGAACCCCATAAATTTAGCAAAAGAGTCCCTGACATAAGCGAAGTCTATACAATTTAAAGAGAAACATGCAGTACAGTTTAAATTTCCTATACAAACTTTCCCCCTGTATTTTAATTTCTTTTGTTAATCCTCACCCGAGGATACTTTTTTCATTGCTTTTTAGAGAGAGTGGAAGAGAAGGTTCGAGGGAGGGAGGAAGGGAGAGAGAGAGAGAAACAGAGAAACATCAATGTGAAAGAGACACATTGATTGGTTGCCTACCGCACATACCCCTGCTAGGACAGGGATCGAATGTGCAGCTCAGGTAGGTGCCCTTGACCAGGAATCGAACTGGCAACCCTTCTGTGCGTGGGGCCAATGCTCTAACCAGTGAACAACACTAGCCAGGCCCCCCTTCTTGTATTTTTTTACATACATATGACACAACCAGCTACAGTACTTTTTAGGCAGATAGTAAATAAATATTGCATGCAAATTGGCCGTCTGAGAATAGAAAGTGGCATATAGAATGGCTACACAGCCTTTGAGCTGAGTTAAAGTTTGGGATTCCTTAGCACAAACTATTTTAAAAATATGTTCTAGGAAAGTCGAAAGAACCCAAACTGGTCATTGTTATGCCCAGATTTCAAGATTCCCAAGAAACCACATCAGGGAGCCAATCCGATGCAAAAGCATAAGAATCTGTATTTCAAGCTAGCTCGGCTCCCCGTCCACCAGACTCACCGACACAACGACAAGCCAAGTGGCGAAGAGAGAGAACCCCGCCTAGAGACCGGTTATATAGGGGGGGTTGGAGTAAGGGGAGGAGAAAGGACTGTGCTCTGCCGGGCGCAAGCCGGGTCTTGTTACACAGGATGTGGTCATCTCTATGGCGTGCACGTCCCTTGATTGTCATTGGTTAGTTTAAAATCCCGGGCGTGGCCAGCAGAGGCCTGGGCTTCCGGGAAGAAGGGGGGGTCTGAGCACATGGCTCCTACCCCAACATGGAGGATACGGGCAAGATGGAGGGCATAGCCCTCGCCCTTTCAGTCATTGTAAACAAAATAAAGAAAAGCGACCTGATGCCTACATGGAAAAGTTGAAAGACACATTGGAGGGAAACTCAGAAAGAGACATGTTCCCGAGACTGTCTTCAAAGTCCTGGGTGCTTCCTCCTCCCCCCCTCACCTGCCAGTTTATTGCCAGAGAACCACGGTCCATGGAAATCAGTTCACATCACGTGAGGAACACCAAGCAGGGCATGTGACAGGAGCACCACAGGACTGAGTGTTACAAGAAGAAGGAAGAAAAGGAGGGATGGAGGGACACGGAGAGTGAGAAAGAAAGGAAGATAGAAGGAAGGTAAACTGATGCATTGAAATAAAATTGAAATCCCCCGAAGAAGTCGGGAAAACCATAAATAGAGAAGAAAGAAATTTATGAAAGAGAGAGCAAAATCTGCACACCTTCTTGATGCAGCTATGGAAAAGTCTTTCATTGTGCTTACATCATTTGCACAGTAGATGGCGCCCAAGTACTTTTAAAAATGCCTCCAATAGGCTTTTTCTGCTTCATTTATCGTTTTAAAAAAAATTTAGTTGTGTTTTTCAATTACAGTTGACATTAAATGTTATTTTGCATTAGTTCAAGGTATACAGCATAGTGATTAGGCAATAATGTACTTTAAAAAGTGTTCCCCCCTGATATTTCCAGTACCGACCTGGTACCATGCATAGTAATTTACAATATTATTAACTCTATTTCCTATGATGCACTTTATATCCCCATGACTATTTTGTAACTACCAATGTGTACTTCTCAATCCCTTCACCCTTTCACTCAGTCCTCCAACCCCTCTCCCAACTGGCAAGCAACCATCAGGCTGTTTTCTGTATCTATGGGTCTGTCTGCTCATTTATATTGTTCATTAGATTCCACATATAAGTGAAATCATATGGTATTTGTCTTTCTCTGACTGACTTATTTCACTCAGCATACTACTCTCTCAGTGATGGCGAACCTATGACACGCGTATCAGAGGCGACACGCAAACTCATTTTTTTGCTTGATTTTTCTTTGTTAAATGGCATTTAAATATATAAAATAAATATCAAAAATATAAATCTTTGTTTTACTACGGTTGAAAATATCAAAAAATTTCTATATGTGACACGGCACCAGAGTTAAGTTAGGGTTTTTCAAATTGCTGACACGCCGAGCTCAAAAGGTTTGCCATCACTGCTGTCTATTCATGCTGTCTCAAATGGTAAGGTTTTATTCTTTTTTATGGCCGGTAATATTTCATTGTATATATGTACCTCTGCTTTTTTTAAATCCACTCATCTATTTTTGGGCACTTGGGTTGCTTCCATAGCTAGGCTATTGGAAATAACACCGCAATAACATAGTGTTGCATGTATTCTTTTGAATGAGTGTTTTCGGTTTCTTCGACTATATAACCAGGAATGGAATCACTGGGTCATAAGGCAGTTCCATTTTTAATTTTTTGAGAAACCTCCATACTGTTTTCCAGGTGTACCAATCCACATCCTCACCAACAGTAGTTATTTGTTGTTTTATTGATGATAGCCATCCTGATAGGTGTGAGGTGGTATCTCATTGTGGTTTTAATTTGTATTTCTCTGATGATTAGTATCATTGAGCGTCTTTTTATATGTCTATTGGCCATCTGTATGTCGTCTTTGGAGGAGTGTCTCTTCAGGTCCTTTGCCCATTTTTTTTAATAGGATTTTTTTTGGTGTTTAGTTGTATGAGTGCTTCATAAGTTTTGGATACTAACCCCTTATCAGATGTATCATTGGCGAACATGTTCTCCCATTCAGTGAAGTGTCTTTTTATTTTGCTGATGCAAAAACTTTTTAGTCCCATTTGTTTATTCTTCCTTTTGTTTCCCTTGCCAGAGGAGATATATCAGAAAAAAATATTACTAAGAGAAAGGTCTGGGAGTTTACTGCCTCTGTTTTCTTCTAGGAGTTTTATGGTTTCAAGTCTTGCATTTAGGTCTTTAATCCATTTTGAGTTTATTCTTGTGTGTGGTGTAAGAAAGTAATCTAGTTCCATTTTTTTGAACTTCCAGTCTGGTAGATTGCTTGTTTCCATTTCATTTAGTTCTTTTTTTTTTTTTTTTGGAGATTTCTCCTGTTCTTTCATTTGGGGGCATGTTTCCTTATCTCCCCAGTTTGGCTGCCTCTCTACAAACAAAGTATGTTTGTTTTTATGTATTAAGTAGATCTGTTATATCTCGGTCTTTGTAGTGTGGCCTTATGTAGTAGGTGTCCTGTGGTACCCAGTGTCGCAGGCTCTTTGATCATCCTGACGGAGTGCTCTGGAGCATCCCTTGTGTGGGTTATGTGATCCCTCCTGTTGGAATTGAATTTTGTTTGCTGTTGGCTCATCTATGTGGGGGGCCCACCCTCAGGCTGGATGATCGTGAGGATCAACCCCTGACCACAATGTAGGAGCTGCCGTGTGGTTGCCGACCCCTTGAAGCAGAATTCATCTCAGCAGGGTCTGCTGCCTGCAAGGATCTCCCTGTTTATGTGTCCCTTGTGGAGCTAATTGGATCCTGCTCTGATGTCTGAAGCTGGCCATTGATGGTATTAGTTCTGGGGCCTTTGGGGAGGGACTCTGGTGAATGTCAATATCAGACACTGCCTGTGACTGGCCCTGGGCAACCGTTTGGACTTACAAAGCGATACCGTTTGTGGCAGCCTCTTCTGGGCCTGAGTTTGCATGGGAATGGTCAACTGTGCACCAAGGCCTGCTTCCTCTAGCACTGAACCGAGCGCCAGGTCAGCAAAAGACCTAAGCCACCTTGAGATCCTCCTCCACCTGCCAGTGGGCTTTCAGGTTCAGTCACTAAAGGAGCCTCTGGTGGGACGTCAGCTGCATGAGGTAGGTTCTCAGTGAGTGACCAGGTAGTGGCGAGTGGTGTTTATCAGATTAATACAGATTCCAACTTGGTTCCAGTGTTGGGTCTGAGGGCACTCAGCAAAAGTCTCTGAGTATTTATACCAAGGCTAACTCTCACCCGTCAGGTACCCGTAGATCTTTGTGGTGAGGGGAGTCTCAGGGAATTGTCAGGGGGAGGCCAGCAGAGTTTATCAGGCCCAAATTGATCAGGCTGTACTGGTCAGGCATGGGAGGGAAAAATGGCCCCTCTCCTGGAGCCACACAATTGAGTCTGTCCCAGATTCTGCCTGGACCTCTTGGAGAACACAACCTCAGCAGGTGCCCTTGACCAGAATCAAACATGGAGACCTTCAGTCTGCAGGCCAACGCTCTATCCAGACCAGCTAGGGCTGGGCAGCCTTTTTGAGTTCAGGTGATTATATGGCTACAGAGCTGGCACCCTGGAGAATTAACCTGATAGTCCCATCTTGGGTCAGTTTGGGGGACTGTGTCAGTGCCAACCAGGTTGGCCACTGAGTGTCTATGGAGGGCATTGGCATGGTCTTGAGCTATTAGCCAAACACCCCCCTTTTCCTCTGGCATTAGAGAGGAGGACAGAGTGACCTAGATGTCGTGCCAGGTCAGGTCATAGGACTGGGTCAGATACTCAAATTCCTTGGTAAAGGTGGCCAGGTTGGTGGAGAAAGACCCAAAACGCCTCTTAATCTGTGTGAAGTCAGACCTGGAAAATGGAATGTGTATCCGGACAATACCCTCAGTTCCTGCTACCTCCCACAGGGGTAGAATGGGTGTGGGAATAGAAGTGGCTGTTGAGGAAGGTGGTCTTTGGGTGACCTGAGAGCCAGTGTTGGGTGGGAAAAGGCTGTTTTGGAACTCACATTCTCAGAATTTGGACTCTGAGAGGCTAGGGGAGAAGTTGGTTGCCAGTTAGGAGGGTCTGGGTTTTGGGAATCCACTACAGGTGAGGAAGGGATGGAGGTTAGTGGTCTTCTGGGTCAAAAGTAGATTCAGAATGAGAAATGTGAGGGGTATGATGTTTTGTGTGAAGGAGTAGGATCTGATGGGTAGAGCAGGACTGAGAGAGAGGATTGGCACTGAAGGTGAAAAACGTCTGGATATAAGGAATCGCTGACTATTTTCCATTGGGCTGATAGCACTTATCTAAATCATGCACTATGTCAACATTGAAAGTGTCATTTTCAGGCCATTGAGACTTATCATCTAATTTATATTGTGGCCAAACAGTGTTACAAAAGAAAATGAGGTGGTTGGGCATGACCTCCCCCATGAGTGTGCAGAGGGTGTGTAGCGTGGCCCATGAGAGACGAGTGAGTGACAGACCACACATCCAAAGGTGGTTGTTTAGGGCAGGTGTCCCCACTGCTAAACAAATCACCACGAAAAATGAGGGGTGCCCCTCTGGACTGGGCATCCCCAATCCAGAAGGACCCAAAGCCAATCAGCTGAGGAGTCTTCTGGCCTAGCCCTAGGACTTTTGAGAAGTCAGTGAGAGTGTGGGCAGAAGACTTCAGGTGAGGGAAATTGTTGAACATCACTCACCTAGAGAAGATTGGCTGGTGTGGGATGAAGGGTCAGCAATGGAGAAGAGGTTCCTGATCTGGGGTCCTCCCTGGCTGGTTTGGGAGGGCCCGTAAGAGAGGGGAGGATTAATTGAGGTCAGTGACCATGTCACTAGAGTAGGATTCGGAGGTAAGCCCAGGACAAGCTGCCGCTGCCTACTGCTCTCTGAGCAGCAAACTCGGGGTGACCAAAGCCAGGGTGATGGCTCCCCTTCCCTGTGGAACCCCCCTGGGTTTCCACACCAAATGTTAGGGTCACCAAAGGAGGAATGCATGAGGCCAAAAAAGGGTAAGGGACTATAAATTTATTAGGTCATCTGGATACCAGGTGGGCTGAGCCCTCAAATGGCACCAGTACCCAGGGACGGCGAGTCAGAGATTTTAAAGGACTCTAGGCCGGCTTTTCCTAGGTGGAGAATTCTCTGGACTGGTCCAGATTCTAGGAAGGTCCGGAGGGGAAGGATAATGGTCTTAGCAAGTAGAATGCAAGTGAAATGTCTATTGTGAAGTGGTCTAAAGGTCAGTTTCCAGGGGAGGGGATATTGATTAAATTATTTGATCAGACCTAAGAGCCCTGGTCAGGACAATTAGGAAAGAAAAAGAAATAAAAGGCATCCAAATCAGAAAGAAAGGAAAACTGCCTCTATTTGAAATGAGCTGATATTATATATAGAAAATTCTAAAGACCCCACCAAAAAATGTTAGAACTAATGAACACATTTAGTAAAGTTGCAGGATACAAAATCAATACACAAAATCAGTTGTGTTTCTGTACACTAACAACAAACTATTAGGACAAGAAATCAAGAAAACAATCTCATTTATAATTGCATCAAAAAGAGTAAAATA